CTTCTAGACTTAAACCAGAGATTCAAAGTCAGCATTATAGGAATTTTAAGGTAGACACAATTAATGAATCGTTATTACTTTCTAAGATACCATAAAGTCTTTTCCTAAAATGGCTGACTGAACCTATTTTTATCGTCTTTTTTTTTTCCAAAGCATGCATGGAATATTTTCAGATGCTATTGAGGGCAAGGAGAAGAAAAGTGATGGTATTGGTGAAGTACAAGCAGTTTTGCAGGATCAAGCATACAATTTTGCATAAAACATTGCATGTAAAAGTAACATTGTAGGTTTTAAGCCATTGCATTACAATTCAACAGTTGTTGCACTTAGCTTTAACAAAATTTAAAACTGTAAATTTTGAAGTGAAGAGCTGAACCTAAATTCCTAAACAAAGACCTTGCAATGGTACACCACACAGCAGCTATTTTTCTTTGGGTCTAAAAAGTTATTTACAATATCAATATTTATAGTCTTTGTAAAAGTCTTTAGCAATGTGAAGATTGAAGTCCACCCAGTTTTCTGAAACAACAGAATGGTTGACATCTCGTGAGGTTACAAACTATCCAGAGGAGTGCTAGTGGCAGCCTTTTGACTGCAGGTGTTTGCAATTTATTTGTTTTCCAATCTAATTCTGAATGGAAAGTGCTAAAATATGAAATGCAATAGGAAATAACAACTGAAGTCTTCACGATAAATTAACATGTATGTAATAAATGAAATAATGAAGGTTTCAGACTATCAGTCAGTCAGTGCTATGTTTTTGTTACATTGATTTTTAGTTTTTTTAATATTTGAAGTTTGTTATTGTGCTGACAATTTTCCCATGAAAATAGCAAACCTCATAAACAGACAAATCTGTCAGACCAATTTTAAAGTTGACACGTTAAAAATAATGTTACAGCTGAATTTAGACTTCTTTAATGGTTGCAAGAAAGGAAGACATGAATTCAAACAAGTTTTTTTTTAATTCCTTTTTTATATATATATTTTTTTACATTTGTTGCGTAGGGCAAAGCTGTCTAAAGTATTTTTCTCATAGTAGACTGCTGGGGTACATTAGGAAATAGGCTAAAACAGTTCCGGGGATGGTTCTCAGTTCGTTACAAGTCCGTTGCTCACAGTTACCAGGGCTCATAAATTTGATGCGAACCGCAGTTTGTCTCCCTCGGGCTCTGTGCTTAAGACTGTGGAAGAATCCCTTTGCAGAGGGGCTGTGGGTGGCGTGGCCCCCCGGTCTGGGGGGATGGCTCCTGAGGACATCTGTCGGAAGAGTGAGACACGCTGGGGGATGGTGGCCCAGCTGGCCGGGGGCATGCTGGGGCTGGGAGTGGGCTGTGGGAGGGAGGCGAGGGACTCCCCCATGGTGGGGTGAGGCCTGGTGATCAGGGTGGAGATCTCGTGGGGCAGGGAAGGCTGAGAGGCGGAGAGGGGCCGCACCTCCTGGGTCAGGTTGGTGTTGTGGATCTCGTTCTTCTGTGCGGCACTAGGCGGCTGCTGGGGTGCCTGCGGCTGCTGCTGCATGAGGGAGAGCTGTGAGGCGGTGGGCGAGACGTACTGGAAAGTTCGGCTGGCCAGAGGGCTCTGTACAGGTGGGCTGCAGATGGCGGTGGTGTAGGAGCAGGGCGAGAGGATGATGGCTTGCTGGGGTGTCTGTGTGCTGGGCGAGGTGGAGTGCAGGTTTCCATGAGAAAGGCTGCTCACGGTGTATACGGGAGGGGATTGCGTCCTGATGTGTGATGATGAGGTGGCAGTGGAGGTGCTGGAGTTCAGCATGGGCATCTGCTGCAAGCTCACTGGGGCGATGGTCTGCACCATCTCTCTGTCGTGCTTCACAATCTGCTTCAAGATCTCGTTCTCCTGGTTATTGAAAACCCCGGTGTTGAGGTCCTTCTGGAACTTCTGCAGGAGGATCGAGTTCTTCTTCCCTTTACAGAGAGGCAGAAGAGTTAGCAAGCCTGACATGCAGGGGCAGATCCCCACTCTGACTTTGCATTTCAGCCCCCATCACTGAGGGCTATATTGGCATTGTAAAAGCCTGAGCAAACACCAGGCTGAGCACTGGCCACAGCTCGGCAGTGAGCCCACCGTGATAGGCTGCACCACACTGATCTCCCCAGGAGCCAAGGACTGAAGAGCTCGTCCCTTGCGGCAGAGTGGTGCTGAGCCTCTCCAGGCACCGTCACAGCAACTCACGCTGGCATGCAGCTCCTGACAGCTGGTCTCCACGCACACCCAGTTCCTCCTCTCTCTGCACCAGCATGGCAGGTTTTCGTAACACCACTGTGCTCAAAGATACCTGAACTTTCTGTGCCTCTTCACTTGTAGTTCATTGCTATTACTGCAATTATTCTGAAAATGTAACCATGGTAATTTACTGAAAAGCAGGCTGGAAAAAGCCACCAGGCTCTGCGTGTATAATGTCTTTCTCTCTCACTGCAAAACAGTTCTAATTTCCACTAAACTGTTACATAAGTTATAAATATATCTGCCATTTAGCACATTCCCTGGAACTGATTATTAGACATTAGTAACCTGTGACCACTAGCTTGCAAGAAATCATCTTTTTAAATATTTGTGAATTAATATGAACTCATGGCTAATGTGACACCTGCTTACACAATAAAGACTGCTGTACACTGTGTCCTGATGTTTGCTTGATGGCTCTCAGTGTCTGCAAGATGTAGACAGTATTCTGTGTCATCAGATACACAGGAACACAGTTGCACTCAATTGTTTCTTTTTTTCAATAAAACAGTTCATATTTTATCTTTTTTCCTGTGTAGATTTCATATTGTAAACACAGCACTTCAGACGGGATTACTACTCCAAGAGCAGACTGGACTTTACTACTAATATTAAAGCACATATTACTTTGAGTTGGACTACATTTCCAGAGAGTCATGAGAAACAAATTATAAGAGTTTGAAAAGTCTTGAAAACATAAAGCACTGAGTGTTCACGATCTGCAAAATACTAAAACAGGTCTATTAAATATTTGAAACCTGTAAACATGTATTTAATTTCTTTACTCTTGCTATATTAAAGAAAACAAGTTTTCTTCCAAATCAGGATAAACAATTTTTATGCATAGCTGCATTTTAAAACCAGTGTCAATAATGATTATCAGTGTGTACTTGTCCCGACCAAAGACCATATATTTTATCTAGTATGTCCTATTAGAGAGGTCCAGAATGTCTGGATGCACAACAGCAGACTTCACACACCCTGTTTTAATAATCTGCCATATCATTCTGCTTTTCACTTGGATATCATTGGTCTGCTTTTCTGATTGCAAGCAGATATCAGTAATGCCAGTGTGCAGCCATCAATGCTAGCAGTGCCCATGTTGTGAGAAAAATGAGAGCACTGCTGCAAAGGATTAATTCACTTCAACAAACATAGGTTTTGTGAGTGCTGAGAGACTTCAGCTCTTCCCAGCATTATAGATGTCATCTGTAAACTATTTATGTAGGAAAATGTCATCCACTGCTCGTGAAACTGCAATAAACCCTATGAGTGCTGAGCGCAGCAAAAGAAATATACGGGATTAATAAATAATACCAATGATAATTAAAGTATACAAAATAATCCTCAGAGGACTATGAGCTTTCTAAAATTCAAAGGCTTTTATTATTTAAAAGTGAGCTTGCAGAATTTCTTGTCTGGACACATCTTATTCATAGATCAACAGAACATTTACTGCAGTGTAACAAAAATGAAACTTTTAAGAAGGATTTAATCTGGGCATTTTATCCTTCAACTCAAGGAAAATAAAAGGTAGAAAGGTTTTAAGAATTCCAAATATGGAAAAAAATAATACCTATCCTGTCAAGTCTATCAATTGCCACCGTTTCAAAGGCCCTTCTCATCATGGGGTACTCTTCCAGAACCTCATTGAAGTTGTCCACCGAGAGGGAATACAGGCGACAGTACGTGTCTGCTCGCACACTGGCAGTTCGACGGCCCTTGGTCAAAAGGCAAATCTCTGGGGAGAGAAAAATTCAACACACACAGGAAACAAAGAAGTTAGTGAATCATGTGAAACTTAAAAGCTAGGAAGTGACTTAGTGCTAACAGTAGTCAGCAGCAATTTTTCTATTGCTGTTTACACAAGGTTGCAGGGGCAATTCTGAAGGTGTTTGATTCTATTTTTGCTACTCTGAAAAAATAAATAATCTCCTTTAAGAGCCCTGCTTATAGGTTTTCTCAGTCTAGACTCTGATTTTATCAGGCCTTTATCAGGCCAGGTTCAGGTTTTGGAACACCATGAATTTCTAAAGAAGTTTGCCCATATCTGTATCTTGTAAAACAGGGGACATGTAGATAGTATTTTATTATTGCATTAGTGTGACAAAACACTCTGGATAGGAAATTCGACATACCTGAAAGACAGCACTAAGGAAGACTGATTTCAGGAAAACCTGAATGAGTGAAGGTGAATGACACAACCCACAGGATGACTCTTAAAGAATTAGGATTAGTAGGCTTTTTGTAAGGGCCACGGTTTTGGTACCAACTGAGATCACTGGACTATATCAATATGCCACTGTAGGTGCTAATTTTCCCCCTCCCCTGTTGCTATGTGATTCCTAAACATTTTTTTCTTCAAGAAAATAACTGGGGATGTGGGAGCAGTTCACCTCTAGCACCATTTGTGATGTTGCATTGCTTTCTTAGTTTTTGCTGGATTGGTACATGGACTGGCTACCCTAGCAATAATTTCCTGTTTCCAATTTATATAGACCTATGAAAAACCTTTTTTTCCTCTGGGAAGCAGTACAGCTTAGCTGACAGTGTGGCACCTATCCATTAACTGTCAGTACATTTTCCATATAAATTATACTCCAGATGTAATTACTCAACTTTCTATGATACATTAACATTTGACTAGAGATTGAGAAACTTCAAAAATCAAAATAACAATATAAAGTTGCCATGAAGACTAAATGTGTCTGCAAACAGATAAACTGTGCTGATAAAGGAAACAGTTATGAGTCAGTTAGCTGGTTTATTAAAAGCTATCAAACTGGTCCTGTCTCCATGGACCATATTTCTTAGCTTAGGATGGTATATAGTAATATGTAGAAAAATAATACAATGAATTATTATCATATGCACAGCTTTGTTTTGCAAGAACACAAAGACTAGAATGAAAGCAAAATTTCGCTGTCTAGGTGCAGGGAATTAATTTTTTGTAGTAATGAATTAGTTAACTAGTATTTTAGCCATGTAGTGCTCTCCATATTAAAATCAAGTAACAACAACTAGCAATTTCTATGCATTTGTGAACTACAGCAGTTTATTAAGTGCTCTGTCAGCAGGAAACTTGTTTCATCATGTAGCAGGTGTATACATTGCTGTGCAAATGGTCAAGCAGCTATTCAGACCATCTGGTTACTTTCGGCAGCAGCAGAAAGATGGAAAATCAAAGCAATTCAAAGGCTTGAGTCAGTTGGTCTAACATATTTGGGAATGTTTTATGAGAATGGGACAGCAGATTAGAATATTGTTTATTTTATAGAGAGCAATGAGTTACTAAACTATTATAGACAGAACTTAGATGCATGACAGCTCTTTGCATCCCCCCCATGCTTTCGTGCCTTTTTATAGCAAGTCCTGTAAGTCTTCAGAGCATGTTTCCCAAAATTACCAGATTTAGGTAATTCTCCCTAACTCTTCATAACAGCAACTCTTTGGCATGGTGCTAAGATCAATAGGTCTTGATTTCCTTCAAGCTACTGAAGTTGTCCACTGACCAGAAACTAGCTAACAGGCACCTTCTTGGTGTGCCAGTCAAAGGGAAGGGACAGTAACCTTCAACCTCGGGCACTCTGCTCCCAGCTTTACAACAGGTAATGAGAGTGATATTTTTTCTTTAGCAAATGACTATATAAACTTCAAGCAATTAAAATCAATAAGCTTCTTGAGAAATGGAGAATCCTTCAGAAATGGAGTGATTTCCCAGTTCTGTGTTGTCTTAACCATCTCCATCTCTAATACAGAAAACAGAGAGAAGCTGTTTCATATGATAAAATTGTGATTGCTTTAACATATACTTTTGTATGTCTGTCTCCTTTTTCTTTATTAAACTCTGGAAAGCATCAAATACATCTATCTAACTATTTTTTCTAACTTTTTAACATATTCTTTTTATCTTTCAATATATTATAATTAATGTACAAAATAGAAGACCCAGGGATATGCTGCTTTTTGTTATAGACACTAAAATGACTAACACCAAGTCTTATGATTAGTCAGAATGTAACTTACACAAATTAAATTAGTTTCAGTAGTTTATTGTCTCCACAATAATAATTAAATGCTATGCCAGATAGCTATGTGGATTTTGTTTAGCAAAACGGTATTTACATTCACAATAGTCAAGACTGTGGAAAGGAAAAAAAAAAAAGCAACTCATCCCCCAAATCCATATCTATGGAGTGGATGGAAATAAAAAGGCTCAGGTAACACTTAGCTCTCAATTCAGTCCTATAGTTACAAAACTTTAAAATATAGTCACTGCTCAACAAGAATATTACTGCAGCAAAGGAGTGAATTTAAGGAGGAAGGAAAATGGAGACAATTACTGCCTTTTACAGCCAGGTTTGTAATCTAGACTGTCCAAAAGAAAGATATGCAAAACCTACATCTTTTCCCACCTTATTTACACTAAATATAGAATTGCAGACAAGACAGTTTGAGTGAGTTTGTCAGAGTGAGCAATAGCAGACAGTGCCTGCATGACCTCTTCATTTAAAACCTGCCAACAACAATTGTCTATAAAGTTGCTTTCAGATATCCGGGCTCATCAACTGGAGAGAGGATTCATGAAGGAGGCCTGGATACACTGCTGAGTAGTTACTATTTCGAACAGGGACTGAAAATGGCCAATTACAATTAAGGGTCCAAAACAACTTCCTTAAAGCCTCAGTTTCAGTCTCCTGACACTTTTTGAACTCTTTACCTAAACCTAATTTAAATGTAACTGTTTGTGAGAGCTGTTGCCCTTATATAGTCATCCTATTTAAAAAAAAAGAAACCAGGTCAGTTTCTTTCACATTTTTATTGCCTATTTCCAGTCATTTGATATTTCTGGCTCTGAAGACCCTGACACATGAGCTCTCAGCATGTTCATTGTTTATTTTAAAACAAAATTTATTTAATTTAACAGGGCAAATAAAAGAAATAGAAAATGTGCCCTAACCAGCAAGGTTGAAATTGTCAACTTTTTAAACAGAAAAAGATTAGAAAAGGATGAATTACATCCCTATTAATATAGCAATTAAAAATGCAACAGTTTATCTCATTCAGTAAGCTAGAGACTCATGCTTACTGACTTGTGTCATTGCAAGTTAGGAACACAATTCTTGTTTGCAAATACCTGTCCCTCCTTGCCAGCACCCTTACTGACTGAGATAATTTCTCCATCATGAAGATATGTCATATATCTGAAGATAGGAAGAGAATGAAATGGGAACTGAAGAGAACATTTGCTTCTATGTTTGAGGATGACATAATGATATGGTGCAATAGCCAATAAGTAATAATAGGGTTTTTAGTCTTCTTGAGGTAGGAAATGGTCAGCAGGACAAAGAAGTAGATAGCAGCACCCCCCACAAACAGTATTATACCGCTCCCTTTCATCCAGAATATTATCCTTTGGACACAATCACCACATTTGGAAAAATGAGGGTTTTGTCTCCAAAGCCTCTCTGAAACAAGAAGGAACTTTCAAAACAGATGAGTTGGAAGCAGCTGGAGACAGGAATCCATGATGGGTATTTCATAACCATTTTCCTGATCTAAAATACAGGTGAAAGCTGATTAGGTCTTTTGCTATATTTCTTTCCATTACTCTTTTCCCTAAAGGTCTCCCTCCAAAGCCCTCATTTGCTTAACCTTTGTGTATATATGTCAATTGTTTGGTAGAGTAAGTGGTCTAATTTGACAGGTTCTATTCTTATTTTTTTCTAATAGCATTTCTAATTGGCAGAGAGGTACATTTATTTCATTGGAGATAGCACAAATTTCCTGGGGGGGAAATTATTCTTCCAAAAAGAACTGCCTAACTTTCATTGACCCAAACTTTGATAGGATTTATAGAGGAATACTTATTTTTTAAAACCAAAGTCTGCTAACGGGTGATCAACTTTTCATATTTATTTAGGGTTTGTCAACAAGCCTAAAAGTATGTGCCTTTCTTTACTTTGACCCAAATTTGTCTTTTATGCCACCTACCTATAAGAAGCTTGTTTCTTGAAACAACTCGTGTTCTTATCAGTCCACTTCCTTGAATAAGGCTTAATACACTACTTGATAGTAGCACTGAGAAAAGCAGTGTGATAATATGCTACTAATTTGGATGTTTTGAGACTTACTCAGAACAAGCCTCATTATTTCCATGTGAAATTCATTAAAACAACTTGGCAGAGCCTTTAAAATATTATCTACTGTGATATAAGTAAATGATGTACATACAGACTGTGGAACAAGAGGCTGGAGAGCAGCCCTGCAGAGAGGGATCTGGGGGTTCTGGTCGACGGCAAGCTGAACATGAGCCAACAGTGTGCCCTGGCAGCCAGGAGGGCCAACCATGTCCTGGGGGCTGAAGTCACTTGGTCTGTTCAGCCTGGAGAAGAGGAGACTGAGGGGAGACCTCATCGCAGTCTACAGCTTCCTCAAGAGGGAAGGAGGAGGGGCAGACGCTGATCTCTTCTCCCTGACGACCAATGATAGGACCGGAGGGAACAGCAGGAAGATATGCCAGGGGAGGTTTAGGTTGGACATTAGGAAAAGGTTCTTCACCCAAAGGGTGGTGGAGCACTGGAACAGGCTCCCCAGGGAGGTAGTCACGGCACCAAGCCTGACAACATTTAAGAAGCATTTGGACAACGCCCTCAGATATATGGTGTGATTTTTGGGGTTGTCCTATGCAGGGACAGGAGTTGGACACGATAATCTTTGTGGGTCCCTTCCAACTCAGGA